CATGGATTGAAAAGAGATTAAGAGTGGTGTTAGTTCCAATAAGTAAACACAGTCCTGACTCTTAACTGATTTACCACATTGTTAATTGATGTACCACACTGTACCACAATGTAAATTGATGTGCCACAATGCAAATTGATGTGCCACATTGTAAATTGATGTACCACACTGTACCATTCTGTAAATTGATGTACCACACTGTACCATTCTGTAAATTGATGTACCACACTGTACCATTCTGTAAATTGATGTACCACACTGTACCATACTGTAAAATGATGTACCACACTCTACCATTCTGTAACTTGATATATCACACTGTACCACTCTGTAAATTGATGTATCACTTTATACCACTGTCAAGTCAACATTGTGCATCAATGTACATAATGTAAACTCTGCACACTTTTGGTCAATGAAAACAACACACATCAATGTACACCACTGTAACTTGTACACTCTATGGCCAACATGTGTACACTCACAGTCATTAACTAATTTTCAAATCGTACATCAATGTACATACACAAGTAAACCCATGAACACAATTACATCAATATACTTGTCCTTAAACCACTGTACATCAATGTACTTACAGGTAAACCCATGTGTACACTGTACATCAATGTACATGTCAGTAAGTCCATGTACACTACATCAATGTACATGTCAGGAGTCAGGAAGTCCATGTGTACACTACATCAATGTACATGTCAGCAAGTCCATGTACACACTGTACATCAAGCTGTACCTGTCTTCAACCCACTATATAAAGTATATTAGTATTTGGAGAGTAATTTCAATAGATAAATGACTTAGATTCTAGTAATTGGGGAATAAAACTCGAGTTGTACACTAGCGTAGTCAGTAATCGCCTGCGTGAATAAAGTTAAACTGTAGAAACTGAGAGTTTATGGGAGTTTTAGGTGAAGGACACATATAGCGATAGTCCAGATCGAAGGAATCCGTCCTGTGTATTGCCGGTTCAGATTTACTGCGTTTTATCTTTGGTATACTACTGTATAAAGATTCTAATGATGCAAGAAGCTGAAAAGAAATAAAGTGGAGTTTTACACCCTTAATTTGAATATTTTTGGTAGTTAATTGCAATGCAGCGTGAAATGAAATGAAAATCAACTGTGTGGAAATTTAACTTAATGCAGTGTGGAATGAGGTAAATTTCCCCAGAATAGCAGCATTAGCCTATTATTGAGATATCTTTTACATAGACTGCAGCACACAGGGCCTTGATTCATTGTCCCACCTGTTCACTGGCAGGTTCAAATTAACATATACTTGCACTAAAAATAAAAATGTCCGTAGCAAAATAACGCAGAAATAAAAGGTTTTAAGGTCAAAAAGATGGCTACCATACCTGTTGAAACAATGGTCTATTCTCCCATTCATATTGACATGAGTCTAACATGTGACGTTTAAATGCTTTAGGTGTATCAGATCTAGCCTTATTGACATCTGGTCTTAAATAACCTTTACCAACCATAAATAAGATCTAAAATAGAACAAAGTTATATATAACATAAATATCCTTTCTAAAATAGAACAAAGTTATATATAACATAAATATCCTTTCTAAAATAGAACAAAGTTATATATAACATAAATAACCTTTCTAAAATAGAACAAAGTTATATATAACATAAATAACCTTTCTAAAATAGAACACAGTTATATATAACATAAATATCCTTTCTAAAATAGAACACAGTTATATATAACATAAATATCCTTTCTAAAATAGAACAAAGTTATATATAACATAAATATCCTTTCTAAAATAGAACAAAGTTATATATAACATAAATATCCTTTCTAAAATAGAACAAAGTTATATATAACATAAATAACCTTTCTAAAATAGAACACAGTTATATATAACATAAATAACCTTTCTAAAATAGAACACAGTTATATATAACATAAATAACCTTTCTAAAATAGAACAAAGTTATATATAACATAAATATCCTTTCTAAAATAGAACAAAGTTATATATAACATAAATAACCTTTCTAAAATAGAACACAGTTATACCTTTCATTTAATTTTGAACGGACAGTCAGGGCGATGGTAAGATTATGCAAATATATGGGGGTGGAGGTTGTTGTCAAAAACTTGACTTACCTGGTCCTTATTGCTGATATTACTATAAGGCAATTCTCCAGTCATGAGTTCATATAACACAATACCAAATGCATAAACATCAGATTGAAATGTGTAGGGATTATGTTCTTTCATACGAATTACCTCAGGAGCCTACAAATAAAAAAAAAACGAAATCAAGGTTTACATTTTGTTTTCTGACAGTAACTTATTAAGAAAAGGACTGAAAATTTGCCAGACTTGTAGCATGGACAATCTGTATGCATTAGGCAGGGACTTGGTTTCTAATTCTATCCAAGGGATAGGTCTCTCAAATGTACATCACTGACAGAGGAAAAATAAAAACATGATGTTTTTTCTAGACGCTCTTTCCATGTATTGTAAACAGATAGAACTGGCTTAGAAAAATTCATTGATTACTGCCAATGCTTGGATAGTACATTAAGTCCCAAACCTCTCTGACTATCTTTGAAGATTCTAGTATTAAATACAACACTCACCATCCAGAGTATAGAACCAGTTGGTTGTTGAAATTGATGAGATCCACTCCATCTTGTTTTTACCGTAGCCAGACCGAAATCTCCAATCTTGACAGTCATATTATCAGATAATACCTCCGTTAAAAATATATCTTATATTGGTTAAAGATATCAGAATAATGACCTGACGATTTGTATATATTGTCATTAATCTTACTACACCATTGAAGATGGACATCAAGTGTACAATGAGGGAAATTTTGACAAAAAGAACCATGTTTTCAGTGTAATAAATACCTAAGTAGAAACCACAGTTTAAAATATAAAATTTGTAGATATTGAATGGAAACTGCACATTACTTTAATGCACTGGCTATTTGTACCGTCAATCTGGCAGATTTTATAGAAAAGGATACTATTTGACTTTAAATCTCTGTGTATGATATTTTTCGCATGAAGATAACTGAA